TGTAAACAGTAGAATGACATTGGCAGCGGTCGCTTTAAAACGAAATGGAGATAACAAGCGAGAGCGATCTACTCGTACATATTATTATTTCGAATCATTGCAACGTACTCGAACGGTTAGAAACATTTGAATATTTGTAATTCAACACCGTCTCGAAATAGACGAGGTAGATAAGGAAAAATACTGAATGCACACGTATTGTCTGCAACTTTCTTGTTCTTGCCGAGTTTTTATGTGAGCCCATTCAAGTGCCGATCGCGTTAGCACCATTTCCTGAATGACCCCTGGCCCATTGTTTATTATCAGGAAATGTCAGGAGAACATCAAGCGAGTCGGCCGCTCATAAAACAACCATGTGTCCCGCGACAATGGGGTGCAGCTTCTGAACGTACACCGTTGAGGCGCGGAGTCTTTGTTCGGGTGGGGCGCCGTGAAACATTATTTAGATTAATTTTAATAATGTCACTATTAAAATATGTATTCTTTTATTAACCCGTAACGCAGTATAAAACATTATACTGAAAGTCATTATAATTTTTTTTTATACAACTTAGAATGGCAAACAAGCTAACGGCCCACCTGATGGAAAGTGGTAACCGTCGCCTATAGATATGAGCAGTACCATGGACATAACAGAGTATACTGTTTCGCCCATGATACCCCCTATGCGTTGCCATTCCTGAGGACTCAGGTGTTATTCCTAAGTACCCTGTAAATTCACGCCATATCCCATCCTTCCAACCGAAACACAGCCATGCAAACACAACTGTTTCACGGTAGAAACATGAATGGGACAGAGGTACCCAAGCAATCGACTTTTGTACAAAGTCTCCCTCTGGTGATATATACAAATATAATATATATACAAATTGTATATCGCTACCCGAAATCGATGATAGAAATGGAATCGAAATAAAAAGCTGTGTTAATATAGTCATATACTACATTAGAGTTAGATTACAGTTAACTGTCTATTAAATTTCATAGTTTAAATGTGGATAACAAACACCTAAGCAGATTGTTTTTATTAAATTAAAGGTAATAGAATAGTCACCCTGCTGGCACTTTTTGGTATACACTAGCGGGACAACAGTGAGTAATTATAAGTAAGTATGAAAGCAGGTCAGTTTTTCTATTGTGACGAATTCAACAAGAAATAATCATGTGATTTCCAAGAGGAACCGCGTGGAGGTTGACCTGCTAGTAGTGAAGCTAATATACCTTTATTTTCTTCATTACAAATTCTTATATTTACAATATCAGTACATGTATTATCGCAATAAATTTCAAATTTCATTTATAATATGTAAATTTGTAATTTCGAAATGGTATTTAATATATAATGTTCAAAATAGGACATTTTATTCTAACCAAGCAAAGTTCTATAAAGCTTCATTAAGAATGCAATTAAAAACGTATAAAAGTGAGTGCGAAATGTTTTTTAACCGACTTCAAAAAAAGGAGGTGGTTTCTCAATTCGACCGTGTATACATTTTTTCGGTTGATCACATTGTGTTCGCTCAAGACGGCGTAGTCACATATTGTGCTATAGTAAAAAAAAACAGCAGTGAAGAAGCTGAACAAGAGCCAAGCCGCGCTCACTTTCTCACGGGAATAACAAATACACTTTTCATGCAGCCGAAACCACGAAAGACAATAAGTCAATAAACAATTTATCATCCCAGCGAACGGATGAACAGAATACTGAAAATATGCACGATTTTACAACAGCAATAAAACGTTGCCGGGCTGTTAAACAGTTGTTAACTTGCTATATATAATATTTCAAATGAATGGTAATTGGTCGTTATTGACTTGACTGGCCGTTTCTTCTACCTGAGTGACTCAAGTTTACCCACGTCTTTTTTTTCAAACAAGCTGAGGGCCCACCGGATGGAAAGTAGTAACCGTCGCCTATAGACATGTACAGTACCATGGCCATAACATAGTATATAGTTTCGCCCATGATACACCCCATGCGTTACCATTCTAAAGACTCAGGTGTTATTCATCTGTACCCTGTAAATTCACTGCCATATTGCCTTCAAACCGAAACACAGCCATGCAAACACAACTGCTTCACGGTAGAAACACAAATGGGACAGAAGTACCCAGGCAAACGACTTTTGTACAAAGTCTCCCTTTGGTAAGTCGGTCGTGAACACGTAAATAACCTAAGTCCAAAATTTTGCTATTTATATGTATATGTGTATGTATATGTCAACCTTTAACTATACACTGCTGAATATAAGCCTCCCTCTTGGGGGGTTTGCCCGTAGTTGCTACGCTTGGCAAGCAAATTGGCAACCGCAGTTAGGCTTTAAAGATGTTTTAAGCGGGACGCTGCTGCCTATCCCTCGCCCTCTGTTAATCGCCTCTTAAAGGAAGGAGCGGCCTATTCCGTGGCGAGACCACACAGAGTTTTCTAACTTAAATACATTTAATTATTCTAAATACTTAAGTTACAAGTATGTATGTACTAATGTCTTAATATCAGTAGTCTTACTAAAATACAGGATAGGGAAACATAACACCTTAGTGTCGGGGGGAAAGGGATTGTTAGTAATGGAGACTGAGAATCCCATTGCTAGCAATATACCCAAACAGGTCGACCTCCTCGCGGTTCCCCCTGGAAACTATCATAGTTAATTCCTGATGAATTCATCATGATGGGCTAACTGGCCTGTTTTCATTCTCATCTATCACTCTTCACTGGTGCTCCGCTAGCGTATCCCGTTAGCGCAGGCGGGGTTACCATACCATTTTCACCGATCAATAAAAAAAAACATCTTAGTGTCAGCGTGAGATTATCATATACAGTATAGGCAACTAACTACCTACAAAAATGTTTTTTATTCGTAGATATTTCTTTTAGTGAAAATTACATTTTACCTAACATATAAACTATCTAAAAATACCCATAATAAAACTGTTACTGTTTCTTTTTTTATAATACATCGTTATATATTTTGTAACGCATTTCAAGTTATTATATGTAGAATAATATTATAACAATTTCGTTTTTGCGCGTGAAGTTCATTGCTTAGGTGTCTAGCCATCTTTAATCCGACCCTGCTTAGTGCTCAAACATGATCGCACATGATAAGTAGAGGTCGTCCCAGTTATTTCCGTAATATCCTACTGTTCATGTCCATAGATGAAATAACACTTTCCATCAGATAGGTCGTTTGTTTGTTTGTCGTCGTCCTTCCAAGTTACATAAAAATAATAATAATCCAGGCTACTATTTATCCTGATAAACATAAGCAAAGCCGCGGTTTACAGCTAATAAGACACAAATACATAATACATATTTTGATGATGACCACATCTTGAAAATCGGCTGTTATAAGCTTGAAGACTAACTTTATGTTAACAATGTCATGCAAAATGTATGAGATTGACATAAATTTACACTGGCAGACCACGTGACAAATGAAAACATATGTCGACCTCATACATTTTAAACATACGTATAGAATGTTATTCTGTAGACTCTGGAAGTTTTCTTCAACGCTTTGCATATTGTTGATGATGCTTGACTATCAATTCACGATGGACCGTTATTGACATTTAAGTAATCATTGAAGCAGACCTGGGTGAGAATGGAATTATCGCAACAGTGAATAGCTTTTTTCTATACAACTTAGAATGGCAAACAAGCTGACGGCCCACCTGATGGAAAGTGGTAACCGTCGCCTATAGACATGAGCAGTACCATGGACATAACAGAGTATACTATTTCACCCATGATACCCCCCATGCGTTGCCATTCCTGAGGACTCAGGTATTATTCCTCTGTACCCAGTAAATTCACGCCATATCCCACCCTTCAAACCGAAACACAGCCATGCAAACACAGCTGCTTCACGGTTGAAACACGAATGGGACAGAGGTACCCAAGCAATCGACTTTTGTACAAAGACTCCTTCCATCGCTTATAGATATGAACATCATAGAATACACTGCGGTCCCCATCGTTTGTCTGAATTTGTGTATGTTCGTAATTGAAAATTGAACGGTACTAATACGAGATCGAGCGTCCAAAAAACAACTATATCACCGGTCGGCAAAACTATAAACATCGTGTCGCTAAGACCCTTAAGCTGTAAATAGTATTGAAATATATATATTGGCAGTGATGTCGCGACAGCTGAAGGTTGTAAAGTGTTATCGTCCGCGCGGTCGCGCGGCCTCGCGTCGGCCGTGCATCCTATCTCGATAATTAACTTTTATTTATTACCAATGACTGGTCGCAGGAACACGCGATCTACTTCAGGTTAAAAGTCCTCCATGGAAAATTCTCAGATACAGACACACAGAAACTATACTTTAGTTTTAAGTCATACATCCTTATGTAGATGTTTTTTAATGATAAAAAAAGAACGGTAAACTTCGCCTTGCTATCAGTATGCACTAGCAGGGTACCAATGAGTGATGATAAGTGAAGACAGAGACAGGTTTGTTAACATATCGTGACGAAATTACCTGAAATTATAATATACGAATAGTTTCTATAGAGGGACCACGTGGAGATGTATATTGCCAGCAATGGGGCTGCCAGTTCCCATTACTATCAATCTCTTCCCCCCATAGCTTTAAATATTGAAAGTTTAGCTTCAGCCTATAAATCAATGGGTAATTTTGATAACTCGAATATTTTAAATACGCTGACTTGCGGAAGGAAGTTACGAGTATTGTAAAAAGTAGATAAGATCTACCCTTCTAGCAGATTTTCTTGGAAATATGAACGAGATTCGGAGAGTATAATCTCGATAATAATATAATAATAACACTGTGGTACAATTAGCTACAGGTGGTCGTATTTTATTGTACGATATTTTTTTTTATAATAATTACTATCTCTCAGTGCTATAAAGTTAATAAGTAAGTATCGAAGTGATCTCAGCACAGTGGAGAGCACGTTACTTTCAGTAAATGAGGTCCTGGTTCGGTTCCTGGTCATGCCAATTAAGAAAACGATCTTCCTGACCTGAATTCACTCGGCTCTCGATACTCTGTAAAGTGCCGCCAAATGTCTGTCGTCTGATTATATTATAACATAGCGTATCCTATCTTAAAAACCAGGCAATTAGTAATTATATATATATATATATATATATATATATATATATATATATATATAGTCACCTGCCTCATTACATATATCATCATATCAGCTTTTAACTGTCCACTGCTAACATAATACTCCTCCTTATTTTGATTTTGTCAGTGGTTACCACGTTTAGCAGGCGAATTGGCATCCGCATAAGGCTTTGGAGATGTTTTAAGAGGGATGCTGATGCCCATCGCTCGCTCTATTAGTTGCCTCTAATGGCATCCACGGAATGGAAAGGGTGGCCTGTTCTATGCCGGGACCACAGGGCAATACCTATATATTTACCTATAACTACAAACTTAGTTTATAATGGTTTTCTCCGGAACTAATATCATTTCTTAAGAAAGATTTTAAGGTAACATATAAATTTAATATAATAAAAGTAAAGAAATAATCAAGTTTCCAAATTAACTTGATTTTGGAAAGCGCACTACCAGCGCTTACATATTGTGCCCAAATAAAATAGGAGCGAGCCGCGTAGATAATAAAACTGATTTCGGTAGTCAAACAATAGCATACAGTCAAAGAAGTGAAACTAAACATTTATTCCAAAGAAAATGGGTCTTTTTTAAATAAATGACAATGGAACGGTAACCCGTAAATGGTGAGGATGAAAGCAGGTCATTTGGATCATCGTGATGAGGGGAGAAGAGAATTGTTAATAATGCGGATTACTTATTCCATTGCTAGCAATATGTCCTGTCAGGTCGGTTCCAGGAGGAACCACGTGGAGGTCGACCTAATAGAGTATATTGCTAGCAGTGGAGCTTACTAATAATACTTTTCCTTCCCACTCCTCAACTATGGTTTAAAAAATATTTAAAGCACAATTTATCGAAACAGTATTCAACAAAGTGGTTAAGACAGTAGATTGTCCTGTCTATTATGACGATGTGTACCGTTCAAGCATACTGATGTTTACTCTTTGTTTTATCGACAAATGGGGAAAAACACAACCACACACAATACTTGCAAATTATTTTCTAGGAATTATGTAATATGAAGAAATAATTAAACCACATTGACCCATAATTATAATGATGATTTGTCTTGAATAGACTTGACTCGGGATCTGATGAAAGGTACGTATTTCTTACTAAGCCATAGGTAACGAGATGGGCGTGTTGCTAAGCTTAATATGGTCCTGAACTATATCTTTCAATAGAGATTTCTATTTATTTATTCCGAAACTCGTCGGTTTGGAACCCAAAAACTAGGTACGCGCATTGGAGGCCAAAAAATCTCCATTCCTTTGCTTTCCTTCACTCAGAACATATCAATTTAAATTAGAAAGTCATGATGCAGGATAGCAGTAAAATAATTACTATAATACTTTGTGATCTGCAGATTTTGTTATGGCTTGATAGTTTTTCAAGCCCATGTGACTTAGCTCTTATGAGAAACGCAATTATTTTACAAAAGATTATATAATTTATATCCATATAATAAGATAGATAGATAGATACTCTTTATTATTTTCTTCATTAGATTACAATAGTAAACTTATTATAGATACAAACAATAACAATAAGGTGCATGTGTATATATTTATTTATTATTTATCACCGCAAACAAATAAGGACTTACTAAGTTACAGAACATTCTAATAATATTTTTTGGGGGAGCTGGTGCTTGTACTAAGTGTTGAACCTGTATTACAAGTCACAAGTACCTCGAAACAGTACATATTATAAAAAAAAAAACTTTCACAAAAAAAAACGTGATGGTGAGTACATAAAAAATATATATCTTTATGGAGTACTGCTTCCGACTCATGAATATCTCCACTCTGAGTACTAAAGGTGAACGCTCTTTACAAATTGCAACTAGTCTCTGCATTATTGGTGATCTAGACGTTGTCAACTCCCGCTTCGGATTCTAAGAAGCTGTGTGAGTCCTTTTAGCGCTTATATTTAAAGCGTTCTTTGATTTACTTCAACTCACCATTTCTTATTATCAAAATAAAATACAGCCCATATTCAGTGTAGGCGCTAATTGCGCAAAATAATATCAACAGGTATACGCCTGGTATGCCTGATATTTTTCTGATAATAAGATAATGGTTCGACAAAGGTAAGTATGTACCATTAAAACATATTTTCCTCTTCCTGTTATTTGGGGTTTTCATACAGAACTTGAAAACAAATTTGCGTGGGATGTAAAGCTGGGGCTTCACTGCATTTATGACAGCAAGAAAAAACTTCATCTGCAAATTTGAAAGACAAGACCTGCTTACTATCTGGTGGGATGTTACCACTTTAAAAAATATGAATTATTACTAACTGGGCACGACTTTGCGCTAGTGTGATGGACATTTAGGAAAATATATAATAATGTTAATTACTGATAATGTAGACTTCTTATAGGCAAAAGAATTATTAAAATAAGTTAAATAGTTTTTAAGTTTTTCCATTACAAACAAACAGTCAAATCTTTCATTTTTATAATCTATACATATAATAAAACTGTAGAGGTCGAACGTCTGTAGATAGAAAAAGAATGCTAAAAACCGAGTCAGGGTGATGTCAGAAGTGAAATAAAACACATCCAGATTTTTCAAATTTTTTGTTTCTATGTTTGTTTGTATGGGCTCATCTCCGAAACTTTTAAACCGATTTAAATGAGATTTTGCATGGTGGTACCTTATATCCCCAGTCAACATTTTAGATAAGAAAATTTTAATTACGGAAAATTAAAGAGTTTCCGTGGGATAGTTAAAAAACTATAGTAACTTATACAGGTTAGTACACGACCTACTTAAGTAAAGTCATTTTGACCTAAGGCAAAGAGTGAGAACGACACATCATTTGTTAATTTTGGTCCAGTATTCTCAGACATAATAAATAGGTAGGCACATACATCGATACATACTAAACAAGAATAACAAATACCACGCGGACAAACTCGCGGGCATCAGCTAGCATTAGTATAAATTAATGAAGATAATTAGGTACGCATATTGCAAACTGTATGAACATTGTTCCCATGAATCCATGGTCATTGTCTACAGTCCATACGTGGTATTTAAAAAATCCGGACTACAGTGAAAATGTAGCCAAGCTATCTTGCCTTATCGATAAGTGAGCAAAGTTTCGTAGAAGTGGCCGTGGATATTAGAAGAGCAGGCTTGCTTGTATGCGTAAAGTTACGGCGTGGTAGTGTGTTTGACAGGTCTTATCCTATTTGGGACGAATAGACAGGCCCTCCAAGTAATTAAGCCACGTACACATCGACCGATGGCTGAACGTGGCGACCACTACACACACATGCTTACGTCGTCTAAAAATTCAAGTCGCGGCACCGGGTGCAGCCGGTCTCGCGCCATCGGGCTAATGAGTGTGGCGGCGGGGGGCGGCGGGGCGCGCGGGGGCGGGGGCGCGATGGCGGCGGCGGGGCGCGGTAATGGCGCGCGGCGTCGGATGTCGCTGGGGGGTGCCGCGCGCCGCGTCGCCGATAACAAAATCACTAGAGAACGGTGTGGTCGCAATGCTAGAAATTTGGATGTGACATTCACATACCTACTTAGTTTACAACATTATCTTGATTTAAATACAATGATATAAATCAATTAAACAGTACTGACTCACAGAGTACCTGTAATTGTCTAAATGTATTTGCCACTAATAAAATATAAATCATGTAAATCGTTCCATAAGCATTTATACATTTTTGTAAAAGCATCATTAAATGTCCATCTAAGTACCTTATAAGTAATAATCACATTTCAATTATAAGTACACTGAGAATTGAATATCAAAACTGGTTAGAAACATGATTAAAAATTAAGTACTTAAAGTGTATGACACCTTCCTTTCTAGCAATAATAGCCTAAGAGTTTTAATTTTATGACTGTTATTGTGACAAAGGAATGTTACTAGCCTACATAAAGTAAAAATAATGACATTATTATTACTAGTTCTTGTGTATAATGGTTAGCGGCCCAGAGTTAAGTTTGTAAAGGTAATGAAATAATTAAAATAAGTTTCCAACAATGTTATCTATAATTTACCACTCATTGAATGGTAATTGTAATATTTTCGACCACCGAACCCGATATGTAGGGTGTTTACTCGAACAATGACTCAGGTAGGTATAGTCGTATGAATCACAATATTTCAGTAGATAAGAATATTCGCATTACCTTATAATTTAGCAAAATATATACACTGATATATCTTGCAATGTCGACACAAGTAACACTAAATACTTATCTACTGGCTACTAAAATATTATTGTTTAAATTAGCCATTCTTTTTATCATATGATAATTATAATACCTATTAAATGTATTCAACAAGTCTACATTTGTTTTGAATTAATGATTATTTTAAATAAATGTATTAATATATTTCATTAGCGAAATTAATTAGATGCTTGTAACAAGGTGATTAAAATACACATTTAGATAAATAATATAAAAGTTCCAAGCCACTTAAGGTGACAAATCATACTCAATACCAGCTAATAGTAATTAATAGCCACCAGGGAATTGTTAGGTGATGAGTCATAGCCCTATTTCTAGCAATATATTTTAACAGGTCAACCTTCACGTGGGACCTCCGGAAACTACCACGGTTAACACGTCACGACAGGCCAACTAACGTGACGTCATTGTTGATCATCATCTGATATCCCGCCTGCTTAAACCAACGACACAGACGAGATTAGCGTTTCATTTAAAAATATTTACTATAAAGGTGCATATAAATAAATTAAATATTGAATAATAATGCCATATTCATTTTTATTAACGCACGAGTGACATCGCCAATGCCCGAAATACAGTGCGGGCGACGCGTCGTAAATCGCGGCGCGGCTCGGCGAGGGCCTTTGTGTGGCCTCGGCAAGCAAAAACATACCTACCTACCTACCTACCTACAAGCTACATACTTGCTTACTAAACAGACCACTGGTACTTGCCCCAAAACATCCAATAGATCCAGATATAAGATACTGGGCGCTTATTACAAACTTGAAAACTCAACAGGATTACGTCACGTGACTACAGATAGGCCCATGTTTTCTATATTTTTAATACCAATTTGCAGAGCAGTTTCCTTTCATTCTTAAAACTGTCAGGTTTTAAGCTGTCATAATAAGATTCCTGACCCGCAGTTCGGTCCATATGTAATTTTTTTAATAACTAAACACACCTCCATGTTGAGAAGGATTATTAGTAATGGGGATTCCAGTCTGTATACTATAATATATGTATATTATACTGTTAAGATACCTCTGAGTACCTTAATTTATTGGTGCGGACTACCAGCCCCATTGCTAGCAATATACCCTGTCAGGTGGACTTCCACGCGGTCCACCCTTCATGCTGAATTCCAGATGTATTTATCACGATAGGCTAACTGGCCTGCCTTTTCATTCTCACCTATCCGTCCCGCCAGCGCATATCGTTAGCGGGGCTACCGTTTCATTATCATCCATTAAAAAAAAACCCTAACAAATATAACAATAATATTCTTTACTATTTTTCTTTCTGAAAAAGTATAGATAAATCAATAAGTTGTAAAAATATATTTAATATCACATAGACATATTAGTTTTTAGTTTTATTATTCGCTTCTATCTTTATAAAAAAAAAAATGCTTTAATATTTCTGATAGACTCTACGATATTTCTTTCTGGGAAGGCATAGAAATCTCATCCATAAAGGTAATTGAAGAAACAGGTTAAATACCCTAATATATTAATTTCATAATGTTCATGATTTTTGGTTGTACATATTAAATCAATAAAGATGTTTGTAGGTACTTACATGAAAGATATTAAACTATTTATTAGGCTTAATAAGACCAATACATACCAAAACTATATTTATTATAATTTTTATATTTCTGTTTATATTTATGATGATTTATTATGATGATGATGGGAACGCCCACATCACACAAAAACTACACTATCAAATTGGATACGATTTTCAAAGTTGTTTAAAATCTGGTCTATGTTTTAGATTATTACACCATATAGAATTTCTTGGTTTTTCTTTACTTCTCAAGTCTACGAGTACGAAGTAACAGGCAAGAAACTAGTCTACAATACATAAAAGCAACAACATTGAAGATATTTTTTCAAAGAAATCACAGATCACCTCCACGTACGTAATTCAAACTGTAAGAATAAATTCAGTATCCTGTCACATTAATTTCACAAATAAATTTTGTAAGATTGCGAATAGAAATATCAAGTAAAAGTGAATGTGACAAGGTGATAAAATTCGCGTCTCGCTCGCTTTACCTAATGTTTTATCTAATAGAGCGTTTGATAGATGACTTGCAGACTGCTATTATATAAGTTCAAGTCTGTTGCATTATTCGCAAAATCTTAATAGACCGATAATTATTATTTTCATTTTACTTTTAGAGTTTTTTTTTTGTTTTTTATACCATGAAGTCGGCAAACAAGCAGACAGCCTATCTGATGATAAATGGTTACTATAGCCTATGGACGTTTACCAGACTAGGGGTGTCACGTACGCATTGCCGACCCTGAAGAAACCTTAATATATACCCTTTTTGAAAAACCCCATACTATAAGTCTCTAGGGAAAACCTCGGTAGGGAGCTCATTCCACAGCCTGAGCGTTCACAGGAGAAAATTCTTTTGATACCGCACTGTATATCACTGTTTAGGTTCAAGCGTGTGAGGATGAAATCCCTGTCGATAACAAGCGGTGCGATGATAAAAAGTGACTGTGGGCATCATTTTAAACAATTTCTCAGAACACAGATCGTTGTACTAACGGTACAACACACAAAGGGAGGCAAAGTCGCGCCTTAGACTTAAGGGCTCGATACTGCCTGCGAGCTCGGGATCGTCGACTATTCTCAATAAATTTAGTAATAATTTTCATAGCTCGTCTTTGAACCGAATCAAGAGGACCAAGCTAGTATTCAGGCACTTTAGTTAGTGTCATACAATCATACTAGTTGCCTGGTAGTCCTCAACCTAAGATATCTTGTATTGAGAGGAATCGGGCACCAAACCTTTGGGGACGCAATCCAAAACACCCAGACCTGAGACAAGCTAGAAACATTCGTTTCCTATATTGACCCGACCGAGAATCGAACCCGATAATTGGTATATTCAACGTAAAACAGTAAACAAGCTTATAACCTACCTAATGAAAAATATTATTTATAATCATTAGTTTTTTTTTTTGTTAAGTTGCATAAAAGTTGTATAAAAAAATCATTAGTTTATTTATAATTAATTTTTTATTCTTATTTTAATCTTATTTTTATTAATTATTACTTATTTATAATTACATTTTTTATTCGACGTCTATATACATATTTACTTATTATTTATGTATGTCATCAAATAAGTGAGCGTTACAGTCTCCCAATACGCTCACCCAGGAAAACATCAGTACAGTAACACATACGAGTATGTATAAATAAATGAATTAATATTAAATACATTTAAATCACATAACAATAATAGAAATAACATCTATATCTTAAATCTCTGAACACCAACACTGTGGTCATATGTAGTTGAAAACGACAAAAACATAGAGAGTTAATTAATTTCCCGTTACATATGTATATAGACACTGATTAAAACCGACACCAACTCATGTATAAATATGAACAGCATTCTAAACGACTCAAAATACACTGTGTTTTTTTTATACAACTTAGAATGGCAAACAAGCTGACGGTCCACCTGATGGAAAGTGGTAACTGTCGCCTATAGACATGAGCAGTACCATGGACATAACAGAGTATACTGGTTCGCCCATGATACCCCCCATGCGTTGCCATTCCTGAGGGCTCAGGTGTTATTCCTCTGTACCCAGTAAATTCACGCCATATCCCACCCTTCAAACCGAAACACAGCCATGCAAACACAACTGCTTCACGGTAGAAACACGAATGGGACAGAGGTACCCAAGCAACGACTTTTGGACAAAGTCTCCCTCTGTGATGACCACTACTAGGACCACACCCAGTTGTGATCCGATACGGTTATAGTTATGTTTAAAAATCCCAAAAGTTTAAATTACTTTATCAGACGGAAACTTATAAATATATGTATATAAATAAATAAAACTTTGTACAAAAGTTATTTGCTTGGATACCTCTGTCAAACTCATGCTTCTGCCTTCAAGCAACTATACTTGATGACTGGTTCGGTTCGAAAACTAAAATATAACACTAAATATACATACAACTTCATCATATAAGTCATTAACTGTCCACTTCTAATCTAACATCTCCCAGTTTTGCCACTTGTTGCCACACTTGGCAGGTGGAATAGCAACCACACTTTGGCTTTGGTGATGTTTTAAAAGAGACAATGAAATTATAGCATAGAATTATAGAAATCGAATTAATATAATGTAGGACAGAAATTACAGAATTGCAATGCAAGAAACCCTTTTTGCATTGTCTCTACTTCCTAGTAACACGGGCGTCACAGTGTATACAGTGATATTTTAGTACCCTTCTGGCTTATTGAATGCTTAGGCAGTAGATTGCAGTGAGTTTTTAGCTTGTTTGCCATTCCTAGTTATAAAAAATAAAATTTTATATATATATATATAGAGAACTTTTGCAAAGTTAAGCTCGTCTTAGCACATTTGTTTACCATTGACATATGCCCATATACTTTACTAGTGTGTACAATAAAGCATAAATAACTAAATAAATAAAGTACAATCCGTTATGACCACACTAAACGTAGGTAAAAGTCGCCATTTAAAAAAAAAATTCTTTCATACAACTTACACATGATCACAATTAAAATACTTTTAAGCTGTTTTAAGCACAACGCGGACGGTAGAGTAAGCCGAAGCGTTCCTACCTAACGTGTATGTGTAGTGTTTGTTTTGATACATTAAATTTTATCATGCCAACACGATCTACCGTTCAAGTTCACGGATACCGAGCATTGAGCTATCTATGTTATACGTGTGTGGATGGTATTTCCTTCTTACGTCAATGGTAATTAACATGCCATACGTCAATTTAACGAAATAATTAAACTAAGAAAGATAAACAGATATTACTTTAGTTTCCTAATAGATGAATAGATTGTTGTTCTTTATTATTCTTTCTAATCGATTTTTTTTATACCACAAAGAAGGCAAGCAAGCATACAACCCAACTGTACTGTGACCTATAGACACCTGCAATGCTAGGAGAACTTATAAATAAATAAAACTTTGATTAATAAAAATCTTTTATTAATATTTGTAACATAGCTTTAGTATATTATATTGTGAGTTTCTAGTTCTTATCTCAATCCGTTTAGAAGCTTAACTTAAACACGTGACTGCTATGTCAATGCCCGTGACAGACAGATAGACATCGGTAACAAAAACAATGTTTAAAATTACGAAACCTCAAGAATGCTGTATTTAGGTAATAGTATTATGTATGAGTAGATATATCCCGCAGCTTCGCTCGCATAAATCAGGTACTACGTAAAGTATCCTATGTGCTAAGTTATATCCTATAAACTCCCTGCCGAGGTTTTCCTATAAGACTACAGAATGGGATTCTTCAAAATAAATTCTTTAAAGCACATAATACCTCTGGTATTACAGGCGTTCATAGGCTAAGGTGACCGCTTACCATCAGGTTGGCCGTATGCTTGTTTACCACCTCAGTGGTATAAAAAAAACTACCCGTATATAATAGACGAAATACTCCAAAGTGATACCACTTCTATAGTTCCACTAGTGTTTCTATATTTATTTACATATTAAAATTACAATTAAGCATTACATTACAAGAATGATATAACAAAATTCAAAATATTCTTTTTTTTTATATATTATATGGCTTCTTTCCAACCATTACCAAATATGATATTTAAATATGTATGTATATCGGTTGTCTATAACACATAGTACAAGCTGAATAATTATGAGACTATGAGACTGATGTTATAAGTTACCTTCTCAGGGTTATGTACTTTATTATTTGTATTTGGACGGGGCAGCCTAAAATTTCTTTTTTCTTTCCCTTTTATATATTTATGCGTATGTAAATAACAGAAGTAAGAACGCTCAAGCTATGGAATGAGCTCCCTGCCGAAGTTCTTCCTAAAGACATATGGGATTCGTCAAAAAAGGGTATATTAAGATTTCTTCAGGATCGGCAACTCGCACGTGACACCCCTGGTGTTGCAGGCGTTCATGGACTACACCATAGTACACACTATTACTACATCGTAACCGTTTATCATCAAGCTAATATGCTTATATGGGGAAAAGGGATTGTTACTTGGGATGGAGATGGAAGGGATGGAGACAGAATCCCATTGCTAGCAATATACCCAACCAGGTCGACCTCCTCGCGGTTCCCCCTAGAAACTATCATGGTTAATTCCTGATGAAGTCATCATGATGGGCTAACTGGCCTGTTTTCATTCTCATCTATCACGCTTCACAGGTGCTCCGCCAGCGTATCCCGTTAGCGCAGGCGGGGTTACCATACCATTTTCACCCATCAAAAAAAAATATGCTTGTATACCACCTTTGTGGTATAAAAAAAAAAACATGGTCGAGTAGTTCCAGCATAGAATAGGCTACCCCTTCCTTACCCGTGGATGTCGTAAGAGGCGACTAAGGAAACTTAATAATACAAGAATGGGCAGCAGCGTCCCTCTTAAAATATCTATAAAAGCCTAACTACGGTTGTCAGATATTCTCACCGTAGCTTCACAGTACATATACGCAAACATTTTGTATATGCGCAGGAATCTTCAGCTGTTGCTTGAAAATAGCGATCTAAATAATCTTAACACTAAATACAAATTTAAACTTGCTGTTCTGAAGTATCGTTTAAAAAACTTAATATCAATTCAAAATGAAAAAAAGTCTTTCATGGGAATGGGCATTAAATGTTATAAGATACCGAAGAATGTCATAAGGAGGGTCTGTTTTTTAATAAATTTAAAACTGTTATTAGAAAACACTTATTAAAGAAAGAAAACACTAAACAATTACTTGAATGACAAGCGTGCATGGTGTTAGTCGATCATGCACGGGCTTTTTAATGCATTCTCTTCCATACAACCTTTGGATAAAAGAAATTAAAGAATATCATATGTATTTAGTTGACTATAAACAAATATTAGTTATTGACTCTACAAATATATTAATTAGTTCTAAACACGTAGTCGATAGTCTCTATTAGAATTAGTAGACTACGAGGGACAAACGTAGCAAACGCTACATGATTTCGTAGCATAGTTAACTACGTTCAAAACGAAAAAAAAAAGCAATTTCAACATACTCGTTCCAGAGAAAAATAACAAGGTACAACGGCACTGAATTGGTGTAATTAGTAGCTAACTATTTAGGTACTTTGTAGACAGCCGCGAGACGATATTATGAGACGGAGTTGCGCACTTAGAAAAGTTGCGGAACAGAGATCGTGCGTGAGCGAAAACTTTCGCGAATGGCGGACGAGGGAAAATTCTAAATAAGTTGTTTTTTTTTTTGGTGCGGTAGAAAGTCGATGCGCCGAAGAAATTAGTACATAATTAATTGTGTTGTGCGGGGATAGGTATGTTTACGACTTCGAGGCTTCGAGCGGAGGTGGCGAGATAGCGGGGCGGCCGGCGATGCAGGGGTGAGGCGCGCGCGTCGGGGGACGCAGGACGGACACAAAGGAGAGGAGCGGCCGGCCGCGGACGCGAGCCGTGGGCCGGGTGGCCTTATCACCGTTGGCCACAGTCGCTTCGCGCGTCTCGCTGAGTGCACGTCTCTGCGCGCGACCTTTCTCCGCGAACTCAGCCGCTCGACACTTAGTGACTTGTGATCGACGGATCAGTGAAACCCGAACTGAAACTTGTGTGTGCACGTGCCGCGCATTGCGCACCCGTTATATCTATATTTTTATTGGACGGAGTTCCCCATTCACGGGATTTATAATATCACAACGGCTGGCCTGTCAAATATTGTAAACAGCGCACACGTGCCACCGGCTCACAAGTAAGTGCATCTATATTTTTATTGTCAATTTGTACAGATTTATTAAAATGAAGAATATTGGAAAAATTATCTGCGTATCTTGGAACCTATAGGGCATCTTACCTGAGTGTTGTAAAACATTGTTCCTTCGGTATTTCCTTCTCACTTCATGAATATAAATTGCATTTCCTTGACAAACTGACACCGAGTCACCGACTTGAATGCGACTGTACTAGATGCCTTACCTTAGATTTATTCAAGTAGATAAATTAAACCAGTTGCAGATTACACTGCGGAATTACATATTTCACTTATCCTTATATCCTTGACTTCGCGCATTTTTTATTAGAATATTTTATTCGAAAATAATTTGTTTATTGTTATAAATAAAACTATTTTTCTTTTTTTTTATAAACTTATCTTCTAGTTTATAAAATTATATTTACTGTGATTATATCCTTATGAGCTCCCAATATCAATATCTTATTTATAAAATTGAAAAGTTGTAAACAACCGAAATACAATTTTACAACAATTTTTTCTTTGGAAAAATTTTTATTTAGCAGATTGACTTTACCTATTTCATCATCAATTTACTTAAGAATTTCTCACCTGGACACTTAACTTTATATAGATATACTTTCTAGGAATAAACCTAAAAATAAAAATAAATTTACCTAAATAACAAAGACAAAGGATTAAAATTAGAAACGTAAAGGCATCGAACATTTTACCAACTCATAATTAGTAATCCTTCCGTCGCGTAATTGGAAATCACTCAGCCAGAATGGCTGAGAAATACGGGATCAAGTACGTAAGAATGTTGGGGAGTTACATCTTTCAACCTGTTTATTAATAGTAATAAATTATTCTATCAGTAGGACGTATCGTATAAATTAAAAGTGTTTAAGTATGTAAAAACTGTGAGTTTCATATATCCATACTCCTAGATATATCATGTAAACACTGTTAGATTTATACCAATACCAAGTACAATACAAAATTATATTTTAAAAATTTCAACTAAAAAAATAATAAATAAAGTTCGACATTAATTGAGTAGTAGGTATTGTTTTCGTAAAATCTAGAAAATATTTCTTTTCAATGTAAATAAAAAAAAACAACCGTGATTTGTTTCAATGCGTTTACTATTGTAATAAACAGAACAGCAAAGAGATAAACGGTATTGCAACGCCATCTGTCGGTAACCGACGGAGATATACGTCACCGTTTGCAAGGTCAGCGTGTCAACGACCCGACAACTTTTGCCGCCTACTGTTGTCGTAGGTCATAATTTTATGTCTTCTTTTTGTTTATCTTTTCGTAACTTTATAGCTTGCCGCGTAAACGCCTTTATTTTATAACCATTACAAATGTGGAGTGTTGTATATTATTATGAAAATTATATTACTAATTGTGTAACAACTGATTTTGTATTATTTTAATTGCGATTAAATGCAAATGTTTTGTTACAATACGTGATAAGTGCGACAACCGTTCATTTGTTTTGTGCAATTTAGTTTACTATCGTGTATACCGTGACTATCGCCATGTTGGATTATCACAGCTTACTTTTTAAACAACCGTACGTAAATATTAATTATCTATCATTTCGTTATATCCAGCGTCAATTAAATAAAATTATTAAGTTGATTTTTATATTTAGGAGAGAGATAAGTAGCCTTACCTTATTCAGCATATTTTCTCGCATAAATTACCCTACAAATTTATAATAAAATGGTCACGCCGCCTGCGTTAACGGTATACGCTGGCGAGTCACCAGTGAGGGATGAAAAGGCAGGTCAGTCCCATATATTACTAGCAATGGGGTTGCTAATCCCCATTACTACAAAACCCTTCCCCCCTATAAATTAATCTAAAATATATCTAGTTTATTTCTATACTAAATGTCATACAAATTCATCCATCCATTAATGTGTGATTAAGTAGTATGTGTAAGGTAATGAAATCTACGTAACTTTCTTCAATTAAATAATGATTACTGTTAATTTATTATTTAAGTAGCCTTCATGTCGAATTAATTGGATTATATAAATATTTTTTTTTTTACAACACTGGGGGCAAACGGGCGTGCGGCTCACCTGATGGATATAGTCTTGTATTGTTTGTGGTATTTACAAATTAGGCTGTAAAAGTTAGGTTTCAAATAATAGGACCGCACCACTCCCGGCTCTCTCATTCCAATTCCCGAGAGTTTCCAAAATCTTTACTCAATTCGAATATCGAAATCTAATTAGGATTTCGGGGATTTGAAAACTTTGCCAGATTTGTTAATAATTAAATCAATGTTTTCAATATAATCAGTTAATTAATAATTAGTCCTACAATCAAATAGTTAAGCATCTGCATTACATTATAAATATCACACTTACCAGAGGGAGACTTTGTACAAAAGTCGTTTGCTTGTGTACCTCTGTCCCATTCGTGTTTCAACCGTGATGCAGTTGTGTTTGCATGGTTGTGTTTCGGTTTGAAGGGTGAGATATAGCAGTGAATTTACAGGGTACAGAGGAATAACACCTGAGTCCTCAGGGATGGTAACGCATGGGGATATTAGCTCTGTTATGTCCATGGTACTGCTCATGTCTATGGGCGACGGTTACCACTTTCCATCAGGTAGGCCGTCAGCTTGTTTGCCATTCTAAGTTGTAAAAAAATAACCTATTAAATATTTCAGATCTAAGTATGGCTTATATTTATGAGAGGCTAATTAAGATTTGATTTTTAATGCATACCACATTAAATGGCATACACAGTAAATATCTTGCGTATAAAAGAACTGAACACTCAGATTTTGTATTTATGAGCCATATCTATTAAACAAATTAATAGGGCCGCGTAGAGATTAACAGCATATATTGCAATGGGAACTTACCCAAAATTGCCTTAAAATATCCCTATTGCTAATAATAATGCCTCCCCTCGTTTTCTATATGTTATACGATTTAGAGCGATACATGCGATGGTTAACAAATCTAAAATACATTTCGATTGTTGCAGAGTGCGGGGCGCGAAAATGGCGACCAAGGGCAAGCGGCCGATGCGAGCCCTCACACCCGGTGATAAGATAGAGGCTATTCAGCGCGTTAACGATGGAGAATCCAAGGCCTCTGTTGCTCGGGATATAGGCGTCCCAGAGTCCACGCTGCGTGGTTGGTGTAAGAACGAAGACAAGCTACGCTACATGACATCACGACTGTCCTCACCTGACACCGATAAGAGTAACGATGGTGAGCCGCAAGACAAACGCGCCCGCACCGAATCACCAGTCGCGCCATCATCACCGGTTACAGCTGGTCTCGATCTCACCACACCAACCACAACTGCGCATTCTACACAACATACCACAACTGCTGTTGATGCTCCTGTTGAACTCACCACCAAGCGTTCTGAACCTTCACCGGTACCACATCTGCCGCGTGACCGTCGACCAGACCCAGGCGCCAGCGTCTCGATGAGCGCTATCAGCCCACTATCTGGCCTGGCTCATTTACCCGGACTCGCACATTCCCATCTCGGTCTGAGCTTTAATGAAATTGCAACCAACTTAACACTCCTCGCTCAACTTAATCCGGGTCTTTCCGCCTTGACTGCCCAACCGGCTAGTCGAGCACTGCGCTCCATACGATCACCTAAGCCTGCACACAACGGAGTTCTGAGTTTGAACGAGAGCAAACATCGCAGCAAACCACATCACCATTCTGACCCGTATCGATCGAGTGGATCAAAATCTAGTCACCACAGTACAACATCCACAACCGCAAATCAACCAGCAGATGATTCACTGTGGTATTGGTTAAAGTCACAACAAGCAATGCTAGATTTAACGGCACAAACATCTCAGTGTCATCAATACCAATTAGGAAAAGTCGATCCAACTACTGCTCCGAAACCTGTCGCCCCAGCTCCACCGGTTACCTCGCACGTTGACTATAATCGAAATTCTTGGCTATGGCAATATTACAAACAATTCGGCGGTGCTATGGCATTGCCGGAAGACAAACACAAATCGGCATCCCAAGTGCCAAAAGATAAAAATGCAGAAAATATTCTTTATTCACATTTAACTAAAGGGAAAGATGAAGAGCATGGCGCTATGATAAACCCAGTCCAATCTCAAGTAAATAACGAAAATGCCAGGGACACGAGTCACAAAGAGCCGCGTGTGGCTGAGCCGGCTGCTAGCCCCGAGATTAGTACTGAGAACAAGGGGCCACTATCAGAGAAGAATCACGAATCAGGCAAAAATCAGACTAAAGCTCGCACAGTGCTCGATAATCTGTTGTTTAATAATACCAATCATAATGCAAGTAAGGAATCAAAAAGTGTAGACTTGCCGAACGGAGAATGGGATGCGGGCACGGCAGAGGCGTTGGAACATGGTGACAAATTCCTGGCTTGGCTAGAGGCTAGCGGCGACCCGAGTGTGACGCGCATGCACTTGCACCAGCTGCGGGCACTTCTACAGAACTTACGAGCAAGGCGCTCCTCTGCCGCGGTGCCCGCCGAGCCCTCTGACCATGCTGCCCGTCGCAAATGAACTGCCAAGGACGCTCCGCGCTCGCTACAGGGAATATTTCAATTATGTATATAGTTACGTCGTCGCCAGTAAGCGTTCACTTGTGATATGTGTAGCCAAATTTGCGTAATTTCTTTGTTCTAAAAAGAAAGCTATGCATTATTTTTCTTTAGCCCTAAGACTTAACTAGATGTAACTGTGAGATCCGACGCACCCTCCATGGGTCCGTCTAGGTGTGCGTCAGCTAACAAACTTGATAGCTAGTATTAACGCTGTAAAAATGAATGTTAATTGCAATCAATATTACTTTCTTGATGCACACAACTGTTACGTGGTTAGATTAAGTAGTTCGTTCAGCTGTATGTTGCCATTTGACTATTACATTCCTAGTTGTACCCTTACTATAGTTTATAGTTGGATCCCCTATGTTCTACCTCATGTCAAAACTAATACTAAGTCAAGGCGTCCTTTCAACACAATGAGAGCGGTGCGCCTACACTGCACGGTTGCTGACCAGAGCTGGCGGCGATTATCAACGATACCAAATATTGAAAGGATGCACTCGTATTGTGCCAATCGTACGAACAAGGTAATATTTTTAAGATATAGATGACTCTATTGCGTTAGCGCTAGGCATTCGTTGTGTAATTGTTTTATATTGCTCAGTATTTTATATGGTAGACATTTCTATGTCTCGACTCGGATTTGTATTATATGTTAAAGTTAACAGTTAAGAACACTGTGATCGAAATTATAAATTATTGAGAGATTATTAATACTGTAAGTTACATTCCTAATTAATAGAGTGTATTATGATAATGTTATCGGAGATGTCCAATGTATAGGTGCGTTGTAATAACAGCGTAGCGCAACCACCTTATATAATTAAAAATAGCTGAAAGTTCAAAAATTGTATCTCTTCTCTACTGAAGATAGAATTTATTAATTTGCATTTCATGTTAATTATATTAGATCTACTTGAAATTATTCGAGAGATGATATTTTGTACAAAATTAAAAATTTGATTATGAAATGATTCTCTTATCACAGAGTTTGTGATCTCCAAAATGTTGATTAAATTGAATTGAATCTATAATGGAAAACGTGTTTTATTTAACTATAATTTATAGCAAAACAATACCTAATAATAAAAAGCAGAACTGAGCCGGATCTTATAGGGGCAAACCCAAGCCCAAATAGCAAAATCAAGGGCGATTTTTATCCATATCTGCAAAATTGTAGGGTCAGGCTCAGGCACTAATACCTAATTACATTTAGGGGGGAAGAAGGGATTAACTCATTGCTAACAATACACCCTGTCAGGTCGACCTCCTCGCGGTTCCCCCTGGAAACCATCATGATTAATTCTTGTGGAATTCGTCACGAAGGGCTAACTGACCTATTTTCATCCTCACCTATCACTGGTGTCTCGCCAGCGTATACCGTTAGTGCAGACGTGGTTGATAGAAAAACAATCAAACAAAAGCAAAATTTTAAATTATAAAAGGCGATTAAGTAGAAATCTAGTTCATCTAATATCCAGTTGCATTGACTAAATGAACTTGTAGCGCCATCTCTTGATACTGTAATGAAGCAAAGGGGTAGGATAAAAAATTACTCACATGCAGCATTGGTTTCTTGAGAGGCTCGTAGTCGAAATAATCAGCAACCAAGTTAGCAATCCCTTGCCACGTATTTGTATCAGCATAACATAATTTCGTTGGTCTTATTGTTGTGCACACCATTTTCTAAAAATGCAACTAGATACTTAAAATCTACTAGAAGCGGAAGATATCGAAGCCATTAATAACGACTACTGCCATCTTGCGTGTATTATTAAAAACGTTATTTATAAAAACTTACCTGCAAACCACATTCGTTGGGAGCTTGAAGCAATAATGGCTTCCGAGCTCGATAATGAAACTGAAATTGTCGTCTAAAGTTCTCTGCGTAAGCCAAAAGAAGACGCTCTTTGGCAGAATTCGTGTAGTAACTTTTGGGAAAACAGGTACGGGTTTCAAATACTGGTTCCGATATTTCAGGCCAGCACAGATTAACGACACCGAGTTCATAAATAGCATTGTTTAATGATGATTTAGTCAAAGATTCTTTGACATCTTTTAAACTGAAAATTCTCGGCGATATTTCTTCAAATTCACCTTCTTCCAAAGGTCGATCGAATATTTTACTGGCCACATTTTCATTAACTTCTAACAGTGTATCCATCGGTCCCATCTCTAAATTCTTTTCAGTGGAAACAGGTTCTGAAGCGAGTTTTACAACACTCATAATGTATATATTTAAATAAAAATAATAAATAAGTGCACCGAAAACGCTTGATAATTACTGATTATTTTTTTCAGTTTCAGTTACCTAGCAACTATCATGACCGTGAACTTTTTGAAAAATATTTATGAACATAATCATTTTTTTTTTGTTCCGGTTATACATAGGGAAGGCAAAAAGACTAAGCTTATACAGCCATTATCTTTAGTTTATACCTGGTAATTTCGTTTTCATTTTTAATTACGTTTAGGTATTAAACATAACCAATGTGGCTGATTTCTAATTATGGCAATCTCACAAATAGCACGGCAACACAGGTATTGCCACTGTCAATGTCAACATATTAAAATTCTAAAGTGCATATCACTTTAAATAAAAAACATTTAGATGATCTATGTAACCAGTTCCTAAAATTTGAAGGTCCACACTATAAAACAACTATATTTCCCATGATAGGTATCAATATAGACTTTTTGGAGATAGATATATTATAAATAGTTATATAACACTATAAATATTAATTTATTTTATTGTATCGATACATACTGGTGTTTCCTGTTTTTTTTTCCTGTTTTGTCTATATAATAGCAGTACTTACTCTGTGGTTATATTTGTACTGTCACTGTCATTAGTGTCAAGCGTGTCAATCTTTTAAAATTACGAACGAAATCACACATATACACAGTACGTATGTAGTTACTAGTTAATTGCGTTTGAAATATTTTTCTAAAACTACTATAAACCAATAATCTTTAAGCCGTTCTTATCTTAAAGCATTGAACGACCTTTGTAATTAATTGTAAAAGTGTATAACCTCAAACAGTATGTGAGATTATTTATTGGAGAAAAACAATTCAAGTTACACATTTGTTGTATTTATCATCAACCTATACCCGTGTTGTGGTCTTACAAGGTTGTTTAAAAAATAAACATGGGTAATAAGTCTTCTTTGTTGCTAAGAGAAGAGGAAATCGCGCAAATCCAAGAAGAAACGGGATGTAAGTAGTTTTTCCTTTTTTCAGTTTTGGTGTTAATTCAAAATAGAATTAGAATGATTATATGAGTATGACTCATAAAAATTATAATTTGTTTTTCATGCCAAAATTATTTCGTCGTGAAAAATTATTTTCTACTGAATTCGTTTGAAATCTATAAAATATATTTGTGGAGATTTATAAAACAAGTAATATACATGCATAGTCTTATAATTTTCTTACACTGCATATATTATTAACCATAAATGTCTTTTGTAGTATTTAAATATGTATGTCATGTCTGTACAATTATTATACTATACACATATTTCCAAAATAATAATTAGTATCATTGTCTTCTTGTCTTCATTTCTCTATTTGGAATTGGAACAGTATTCTTACCTCTTTTGATACACTTTGATGAAAAATTTGATTATAAAATAGTTACCATAACTTTTTTTTTTTATATATGGGTTGCCTTAACTTTAGCAGAATGGAATAAATTTATTTCAGTAAAAATTATTGTAAATTATTTTTCTTTGTTGTAATTTTTATTTTCATTTTTTATCTAAAAATTATTTATCTCTTAATTTTAATGTTAATTGGATAGATAGATCACAAATTTATTAGATATTGATATTATTAGAAAAACACTTGTACTCTTTCACAAAAATGTTTTATAATAAATCCCTGACTGATTTTGCTGTTTAGAGCAGTTTCAAAGTTTAATTTTACACTAGTTCTATCCCATGCATTCAATTAAAGCATGGCTAGAAATTCAGTTTCAACTATTCAATTCAATTCAATTTATTCTATAACAATATTACATTATGTGGAATAAGATAGGAGTTTTAGACTGTACAAGTATAAAATCACAAACATGCAACAATTTTACATATAAACAATGTCACATACAAATAATAATTTAATAATAATAACAATTTCAGTGAAAAAAACAAGTAACTATATACAACTCACAATTAATATATCTCTAAAATTCATTTATTTTATAAATACATTTTTCCATAAGAAATTAATAGAAACAAGTAATATGTGGCTTTAATAATCTTAAATTAATAATAACTATTTAATTTGTGAAACTTTTCAGTTACACCAAACCAAATTGAGCGTTTATACTCACGGTTCACATCTCTAGACAAAAATGATTGTGGAACCCTCTCACGGGATGACTTCTTAAGGATTCCAGAACTTGCCATAAACCCGCTGAGTGAAAGGATTGTCCACTCATTCTTTGCTGATAGTCATGATGATAGGGTGAACTTCTTGCAGTTCATGAGAGTATTGTCACACTTTAGGCCAATCAGGAAAAATAGGGAGAATAAGTTGAACAGCCGAGAAGAAAAACTGAGGTGTAAGTATTTAATTAATTAATTTTTAAAGTACTTACTAAAAAGTTAATGCTAAATAACAATAAGGTTGCTTTGTGAAATATTAAAATGGCTAGTTTGTTTATCACCAATTGAAACAGTATTTTATTGCTACTTGAAACATTAAGATAGCTGTAAAGTGGCCTTTACCTATAGACAAATACAGCTCCATGATCTTCTCAGTATAAATTACTACAATGTCAATAGTGGACAATGTTCCTCAAACTACTCACTTTTGGATTACAGTTGGATGTTTTTAGAGTAATGGAGACTGGTTGGGCAATTTTTGTGTTTCATTATATTTCCATATCAGTTCAATAGTTATTAAACTTCTAGATGATGTATTAAGATAAAACACATATGCATATACACCAGTTTTTAAGTTAGACCTCCAGGGATATAACTGAAAACCATATCCAATTTAGTGCAGTTTGTGTGATACTAGAACAAACAGACACACAGAAAAACTTCCTTAAATTATTGTTTTCAATTCTATTGCTCTTATTAGGACACATGAAGAGTCTAATAATTTTTTCTTATGTATCTCCCATATACAAACATTAATTACAAATTTACTATACTAGTAACATTTTTTATTATTGATACAACCTATAGCATAGAGGTATATTTTACAACGGTATTTTGCTAGGATAAGATAAGTAATTAAGATAACATGAATATAAAAGAGATAGTATTTTCTGTCCTTATGAGTGTGTCCTTCTATAGTAGACAAGTACTTAGTACCTTTCCCGTGGGTGTCGTATGACATGACTAAGGGAACTTCTTGGTTAAGGGATGGGCAGCAACATTCATACTGGCAAAACTCTCCTTATAGTGGAGGCCTATATACAGCAGTGGACAGTTAACAGCTGATATGATAATGATGGTGAAATAACATACTTTTTTACAAAATTTCCTCATTTTACAACATTATTTTAAATACTGTAATTACATAATTTTTTTCAATTAATTGAATATTCTGTTTTTAGTTGCATTCTCAATGTACGACTTGGACAACGATGGGAAAATATCAAGGGATGAACTGTTGGCAATTCTCCACATGATGGTGGGTGCAAACATAAGGTAAGCTTTATATGATCTTATTATCTATGTATTTTGTAATAATAAACTTCAGTATACAGTTCTAAATATTCTTTAATTGAAGATGATGGAATAGTTCACACAGTTATGCTAATTATATACTATAATGGGACACCAGTGAAGGAAAAAACGAAGTCAGGACAGCAAATCCAAAATGAGCTGTGTGGTCTCATCATAGAATTGGCCACCCCTTCCTTTTCTGTGGATATCGTAAGAGGCGACTGAGGGGACATTATTTTCGAGGGATGGGCAACAGCGTCCCTCTTAAAACATCAAGTTTCAAATTGCTATTGCCAATCCACCTGCTAAAGTACTGGCAAAATTTCCCCAATGATAAACAGTCATAAGAAATGCTCCTGTTCCTCCTGTTCTATGGTAAAGACCTATGTTTATGTAAGATAAAGCAGTGAATTTACAGGGTACAGAGGAATAACACCTGAGTCCTCAGGAATGGCAATTCATGGGGGGTATCATGGGGGAAACAGTATACTTTGTTATGTCCATGGTACTACTCATGTCTATAGGCGACGGTTACCAGTTTCCATCAGATGGGACGTCAGCTTGTTTGCCATTCTAAGTCGTATAAAAAAGGACTATTTTGAAAGTATATTCTTTCAGGTTAAAAAAAGATTTTTCTTAATCGGTTTATAAATGCTAGAGCTCTGAGGTAACACATAAAAGCAACTGAATAGAGAAGATCCTCTTTTTTTTGGAGGCATTTAAGAATTACACAACAATTAAAGGTGACGCTCTATATATCTGATACTAAGCGGTTATCTCTTTCTAAAGTCCGAAGAGTTATAATTTATTGCCAGGTGTTATATTTATTTTATAATCACGTTATGTAAACTAATATTGATATCACAATGTTTGTGCATTTTTGATAATACTGATAATGGTAAAAAGCGTATGGTTCTTAGGAATTTACATAATTTATTGCTCGTACATATTGTTCACAATAAATTATATATGTGTATTTATTACCTATAATTTTTTCGTTAATAAATTTAAACAAAATTTGTACTTATTTTAAAATATTTCTAATTAAATATTACATGTTTTTTTTTATTTGTCATTTAAAAAACCCCAACCACAGGGAGGTTGACCAATATATTGCTTATAATGAGACTGGTAGTCTGCATTATTAAAATCCCCACCGCCCCCATATTGTGTTTACCACATTCTATTCCTTTGTTCAGTTTGTAAAAAGTATTCTTCTGTATCATATGACTTACTTGGTTCTCCTATAAAATACAAATATATTCTTAATTTTTATTTTATTATACAGTAAAAGTAATTTAAAAATATAGTTGAATAAAATAATTGACCGGAAAAACATTTATTTGCAGCGAAGAACAACTTACAAGCATCGCCGAGCGCACCATTTTAGAAGCCGACACCAATAACGATCAAATGATATGTTTCGAAGAGTTTTGTCATGCTCTTGAGAGGACGGATGTAGAACAGAAGATGTCCATTCGCTTCCTCAATTGACCTCCAAACTCATGAACCATATACATCAAGTATATTCTGACCATAATACTGGCGGTCATTATTTATGGGCTTCTAACAAAAAAATGAATTCGTGCTCTATGCTCTATGACATTACACATTGTGTCCAGTGTAAATTTAATTCTTTGTTAATTATATCATAGTACCTTAGTTGGTAAAAAACAGGGATGTTTAATTTTTAATATTACGCCTAATGTATTTTGGCTGATGTAAGTTTAATAATAATTAAATTATTTTTTTTAAATTAAAAATGTATACCTATTACAACATTGATGTATTCTAAGTGGGTAGCGAGTTTTGTTTAATTTTGTTATTATTTACCTTTCATTCCAATAATATTTACTCAATTAACAGCATTTATATTGCTATACTTATATTGTTTTTTTTTTAATACTCGTTTTGAATTTAAAAAAAAAATTGTCAGCCTTAACTGTTAAAAAAATTGCAAGTGCCCGTTTTTTGCAGAGTAAAGAAAACTATTTAAAAAGTCACTTGGTTTAAACTGCATTTCGTTTCGTAAATAATTGAGTATGACAAGTATCTACAGGACATGCAACCACAGAAAATGTGGCGGGCGCTCAATGTTACATGACTAAAATATATAGTGTACTTAGTACCTATATTAGCTTAGAATGTTACTGTTTAGATTAGACAATAGAAAAAAAACGCGTGCCCACCAAAAAAAAGTTTAAATGTTATATTTATTGCTGTGTAATTAAATCAATATAATATTTTTATAAAAAAAAAAGAATACTTTTATTTTTGGCGTTATTACAACTCCTGTTCTGTAACTAGGAACTATCAACTCGATAGAGTAAAAAGAATTCGCTGCTTAACGATAGTAGTTTGTAGTAGATTTTAGTTTGTCTACCATAATAAAAGCGAATTTAGAGTAAGCCAATAAATATTTCAAACCTTGCTCAAACTTCCATATTTTACTTGTAATAGAATATCATTCTTAATTATTAATTAATAAAAATTAACGTTACACTAGGCTACGAATATATATTTTTTAATGGGTGGCAATCAACTGGCAACTCCGCCTGCAACCGTGTTTCAACCGTGAAACAGTTGTGTTTTGTATGACTGTGTTTCGGTTTGAAGGGTGGGACATAGCGTAAATTTACTGGGTACAGAAGAATAACATCTGAGTCCTCAGGAATGGCAACGCATGGGGGGTATCATGGGCGAAACAGTATACTCTGTTATGTCTATGGTACTGTTCATGCCTATAGGCGTCGGTTACCACTTTCCATCAGGTGGGCCGTCAGCTTGTTTGCCATTCTAAGTTGTATAAAAAAAACTATAGGTATAGGCGGAGCACCAGTGAGAGATAATAGGTGAGAATGAAAAGGCAGGTCAATTAGCCTATCATTATGAATTCAACAAGTATTATTCACGAATATAAAAATAGATGAGAGGTTTGAGACACCGAGGTCATTAAAAGAAATTTAATTAATTCATATACATTTAATGCCATTAATTAATTTACATTTGTAGAAAATATAACTTAAATTGAGAAGACTATGGAAATAATGTCTGCAGTTCTAACATCTGCCTTACATTCATTGTAATTGTAATAAAATTTAAAACCGTTTGATAATATATTCATTCCAATTATATAACATTTTACTATAAAATACAGATAAACTACCTATTGCAAAACTCGAATAATCTTAAGTTAGGTATGCAACTTAGAAAACTCGTCGTAAAAAAAAAAACAAATTGTCATAACCTATAGATACCCATTGGAAGTATCTGAGCTAGATTTATAAGTTCACATAATGAATTTATCCGCTCTTATGGACTCCATAAACGGAAGTTTCTCAGTCTTACTTTAACTCATAGATATAGTACAATATATTCATGTTTAAACTGCTTGACCGTTTATGAAGCCCATTGCGGATTTAAAAACTTATAAACGAATCAATTATGGGTGATAATGTTTGCGCAGAAAACCGAATAACGTACTGTTCTTAATGGCGGCAACTCCGCCTGCATTATCAGTATATGCTGGCAGGGCACTAATGAGTGCTACATGGAGTAAGTACTCTAGTTATTTCTCGAGATATACACACGTTGTTAGACAAAGAGTTCTAATATTAAATATATTTTTACTTGTAGAGAAAAAATGAGAAACTGTCGAAATTCTCACTGTTTAATTGTTGCATCTATTATACTAATGAAATTTTCATTACGACGCGGCTCCAGTGACTTACTTAAGTGTTTAGACAGAACCGCTAGCGCAGTAAGTCCGTAAATGTTCAACATCATTTTCGAGTCTGTATTGACGGTACAGAGTTTCAAGTAATTTGAACAGTACAGTTAACAGTATCGAGTCAATTCTGACCTAGCATGAGTTTGGAGTCGGTAATTGACCCAATGTAAACTTGCACTAATATACAACCTGCAACTCAGAACATAAAATCATAAACAATAGAACTCATATGACCATTTCGTGTGTACTATCTCGCTTATACCGTAATCAACTGAGAAACTACTAACTATACTCAATCTTATTCACACTCAGCGTTGGCTTCGAATAAGAAAAACGTGACATTTTTTAAAAACAAATTCATTGCCAACAATTCCGTGTTCAAATTCAAATCGGTGCACAGATATTTCCAATGAGTTTTAAATATGTTTAGGGGCAAACATCAGTTCTGCTGACACACGATGTTTGTATAATATTGTTATGCAGTTGAAGAGACCGCCAACTTTTTCAGATGCTCCATAAAAACTTGCAGCGATACGTCATCTGTCAGCACGGGGGCGCCACCGTCCTATAGTGCAATAAAAATATTTTAGTAAAACAACGGTTATGTTGATACATAATGTGGTCGTCAACCAAACAGCTTTAAAAAATAACATTAACTCTTATTTAAATAACGAAATCGTTTTTTGAGTGTAAAATTGGGATATATATGTACAGGTTGTAGAGATACATACATTACTGATGAAAGAGTAAATTAAAATCAACACATTTAAAAAATATTAATTTGAATATTCATTTTAAGTCATCTTAAAAACATGACATATTGCAGTATAAAATTCGTATTTTTATCAAAATGTACTTTTAAAATTATAAATAATAGTTGACAACCACTGAATTATTATATTGTAAATGTAAGAACATAAAAAAAAAAAACTTAATTATCACCATTTACCATTATTATAATAAGAGTATAAAAATAGGTAAATATAATTAGATATTGTAATTTATAAATTTGGTATTAATAATTAAGCCAATGTACCGGACCCAAATGTGGGATACCATACACTCTGAGAAATCGCAAAACTAATGTCTGGGTCACTAATTATCAACCCAAACAACCGACACCATATATAATAAAATAAATTATTTTTTAAATTTGTTCTACCAAGTAGAACTCGAGTCTTCTGTCACTAATTTTATAATATGTAAGATTTGAAAATTAATGCAATAATTACTTGTATGTTAGTATCATGCAAAGAGAAGCAAATAATGTGCAGAGAAGTAAAGAGTGAAGCTGTATAGTTAGTCATATTATAACATTGATATTAAATGCTATAAACATGAAAAGGAGAAAATTACTTTTATGGTAGTAACTAAAGCAGAAAACCAACGACCCAGAATAATACGGTGTTAAAAAATAAAAAAAAAAAACACTACCGCTGATGGTATCGGCATCGCCTGGATTCGCCATTACAATGATGAAACAAAAAAATACAAATCAAACCATGCTATGGTATTTAAAATCATTCTCTATTAAAAAAAAAACACACCATGCAATATTTCTACATTCATTTAAAAATCCAAGCTAAAAATTGCCATATTTCAAATATAATGCTAGTATGCTCTAATTGTGTTATACTAAAAGTGTTAAATATAGAATTACACTAAACGCATTAATTAATTTTGCTAGTTCCACACTACACCAGTCCCATAATAGGAACTAGTGTCTCTAACATCATCATCATTTCAATCATTAATTACGTCAACGATGATAGTCGTATGAAACGGTCTTAAGTCATTTTACCTACATTTAACAAGGGATCGTTTTACATTGTCTTTATCTAAGACGGAAGAGAAAATAGAGAACTAAATTCTAATTTCAAACTCTATGTTCACATAGATATATGGATAGACGAAGAAAATCGAGTGCCATAGGCTTTTATCCCTTACATACGTCTCTTGTTTTAACTACTACTTCGTACTTATAATTTTTCCCTCAAAAACTAAAATGCAATTTATGAATAGCAAAAAAGCTAAGAACCCACCTGATGGAAAGTGGTAACCGTCACCTATAGACATGAGCAGTACCATCGACATAACAGAGTATAATTTGTCACCTATACTACTCATGCACTGCTATTCCTTAGGACTAAGACGTTATGCCTCTGCACCTTGTAATTTCAGTATTTTAATTAAAACTATTTTGAATCATATTGTGCTGTAATTATTTATGTCGGCTTTACTTGCGTTTTAAATTCAGGGATAAACGATTAGTTTCGAACTCAACAGGAGCCTGTATTCATGAGCGCGGATCATGGCTGTATCACTTGGAATTGGAAACTAGTTGGGCCATCTTCGAATTTAAAATGTAAATAATGCCGACATAAATAATTACAATATATTCTGGGCTTTCCCTAGGATCTTTCCACTTTCGCGATGTATTTCTGGATACATCATCCTTCCAGATCAACGTTCTTTTTACTCATATATGCTGGAACCAACCTAGCATGCCTTAAATAGATATATTTTTTTTTTATTATAAGGCGTTGCCATGTTTCTTACGCAACTGCCCAAAAAAGGGATAGTTGTTTTCAGAGTTCATGTAAATATATGTATGAGTTTCTTTATTCCACCAAATCTTCTAAATATATGTATAGATTTGGATGTATCATTACAATCTTTACAGAATCCAGACACGCACTGGCTGTAAGTGTTTTAATCAATATGGCTGCTGAAAAGCTCTAGATATTTTTAAATGTGAAAATTATTTTTTCAATTTTTAAAAGAGCAATCGTGTTATTTTAATTATTAAAAAATTAGGCCAGCTATATATATATATATATATATATATATATATATATATATATATATTCTGGTTGTGCAAGGTGAATGTAAGTTATCAGAGTTATATGAAGTGAACACGTGTCAGAATAGATGTCACTAGTGTCGCTACTAGTTTCAATGACACTTAATTCGACATTTAGTAGGTTATATAACAGGCATTATTATAACAACTAAGAAGGAACAGACAAATTATGACAAATACAAAAAATGGCAAATATCTTGAAAATTATTTTTGTATCCCGTGACCAGCGCATTAACAATTTTACATACGAAAACTATTACTGCGCTGACAGCATTGTCTATGGTTTTGTTCATATCGTTTACCGTGTACTGTACTGTTAAAACAAAATCCAATCTGTATACATTATGAACGATATTACATAGTTATTTATCTTATAGTTTTGTAGCCAAGTAACAGTCGTTAACCTATTCTATTAAGTTGAAAACGACTTATTATATAATTAATATTATATAATATATAATGTCAAAGGTCGACGATGAGGATTTTCAATCAACGCGAGATCCTAACTCATTAAATTTTGAAAATATGACAAGAATGGCTACGAAAACTATTTACATGCAACGCATACAATGTAGAACTATTCTACAGATATTTATTGATTCTAAATTTAAAACACAAACTTCTTTTTTTTTTTAAATAAATACTATTTTTAAATGGACCGGTAGAGATCATGAATTATAAAGAGGTGCATTTCGAAATTTGGAATCAATTAAATAAAACTGTAACAATTTGTTAAACCAATAGATATATATTGATTTTCTCTTTAACACAACTCACCCCGCCATACGCGTACATGTTGTTGTGCGTCTGGGACGGATTCACTTTCGACAGCAAAAATCGGGCCTGAAACAATAATTATTTTTATGACAGTTTTATAATTAATAATAATTATAATAATATATGTATGTAGTAATATATATGTGTATGCATATTTGCATACACACACGCAATAAAAGGGGTTGGGATCTCAGCTTTCTTTTTTCCAAAGGTTTTTGGGACGGGTTGTCTGAGAAAACCGGCAAATTAGCCGAGAATGAAGTAAATAATAATAACTTTCATCAATTATGTATAAAGAGAATTTTAGCCTAAATACATAAATCCTTATAACAGGAGCTTATTATACTGTCAAATACATACATCGGACATCCATTCAGATTAACCAATCGTCATGAATTTATATGCCGGGAAATGTACGAATTTCGTTTACAAAGATTAAGCGGTGGGTAAAAATTAGTCTTACATATCTGATAGTGCAGTAAGGCCCATTCTATGAAATTCACCATAAAACGAAATAAAAAACACCAATGCCACGGTACGTGTACATAACAATGGAGTCGACGTGTCCGATAAGGCACAATGTTGTGTCGGGCGGTACTCTCTGCGGTGGCCATCACATGTACGTTTTGTCGTGAAATAATTGCGCAACCAAATCCTCTGGACGATCAACGTATAGTCCAGATAAAAGGTTCCAAAATCAAACGTTAATTTTAAATAAAAAAAAAATAGAAATAAAGAACATGTTCATACAGCTGTGTTTAGCGGCGTTCGAAATAAAAAAAAAAATATTCTAAATGTTTATTGAAAGTTGCAATTTTCAGATCTAATATGCGTGTTGTGGTTAAGTGGTCTGCAAAAGGAAGATTTAGATTTAAACATGTTGAGAAAATTAGAGCGACACAAATTAAATATTGATGATATGAACAATGAGTAAGTACTCTGTTTATGTACGAGATATATATAACTGTATACTATAATTACTTATATAACTGTTTTTTACTTGTGACGCTATGGTTCTTGCTGAAAAACAGCGCTGTAGCGCTTCAAGCGCTGCAGCAATATGCTGAGCACGGACCTACATCACAGAACATTGCGACACACACGCGCGCACGCGTACATTATAATTTAATTGCTATCTATTTGTATATAATTATTATTTTCTTTTGTTTGTTTTGTTTTTGATTTCTTTTGTTTTTGTTTTGTGCGCTACTGTGTGGGCCGCATGTTTCTTTTGATTAAATTATTTCTTTCTTTAATCATGTACTTAAGTGCCCCTTAATTGATATCACATTACTGGACACAATCAATAAAGATATTTATTTATTTTTATTATATTAGCCTACTATACTACTGTTACAAACGTAGTCCGCATGGACGTTTAAAAATGTGTTAATATATTATATGTATTCATTAAATTTACTCAATAAATATTCTAATGGTGAATTATTTCATCACAATTAGAACCCTTCGACAAGAATGTATTACACCGAATATTTCAAAAGCAACGAATCTAACACAAAATGAAAATGAAGAAACAACAATATCGTCGCCTAATTTAAACGACCGTAAGTTGGTAATATATTATTTTTACTAATATTACAAAGTGGTAAAAGCACTCTGTTTCTCACACTTTTTTATGTAATAAAAATAACAATAATTTATATTATACGCATTTACAGGGCACGATATGAAAAATTTTCAAACGAGTAATAATTTCCTTAAAATGGCTCAATATTTTATTAATATGGATAAATTAGAGAACCGATTTAAAATTGAGAATGAAGAAAAAGAAATTGATAATAAAACAAAATCAAAAGTTGATAATCAAAACATATTAGAGGCAAGGAATAGAAAAGAAGATAACAACAACATACCAAATTTAGTTACTGAATCTACAGTAGACAAAATCGTATTAGACAACAATCCTAATATCGAAAGTATTATGACATTTTGGAATACGATTGCTAATAAAAATATGCGCAATAAAAGTCAGACAGTTAAAGAAAGTAGCGAATACACGACTGAAGTAGTGGATTTTCCTAAAACACAAAAGATTATACCACATAGTACCCAACCAAAAGAAATTGACCTCATGAGCAAACTAATAGCAGAATATATTTCTAAGACACGCGTTACTGTCCAAACGACTACTAATGCAGCAAGCATTAATTTCAACAAAATATCTGAACAAATACAAAATATTATGGAAAACGCAAAGAACAATCAACTTCCTGTATTTAAAGATAAATTTAAATACGAAACGTCTGAAAATTTTGGTAACAAACAAAATAAATATGTAACTAATAATGAAACAATTTCTAAAGACGACTCTTTAATGAATCCAAGGCGTACTTTAAATTTAAAAGAAATTGAACAATTTAATAATAGACCCCATACAGAAAATGAGAAGGAAAATAAAAGAAACGGAGGATCAGTAGCGGTTATTGACGATATATTAAAGTTAAAAAAACAACTTAAATTGTTTGCTTCAATCACATCCATTCAAAATATATTTACAGAAAACGTAAACTTCAAAGATAAGCCAAAGCAAAAATTTGAAACACATATACAAAAACAATTAGAAAACGTAAATCCTACACAAAATCCGCAGACAATATTTGACCCACGTTATAACTTAAATACACCACAAATTGGCTTACTACCTAAAGGTGTAATACAAGAAATTACCGAAAAAGTTAAGGCGATTGTATTAAATGATCTAATAAAATATATGACTACTATTGCTGCTACTACTTTGACGACATCAAAAGTTGTTACAACAGGTATATTATTCAAGTATTTCACTTCGCACAGTTGTATTTTCTATTAAGTGGATAGCTTTAAGCCTCGATTTCGTACGCTTGACCAGGACATGTACTCTAATCAGGATAAAAAGTTGAAATAAAATATAGTCACTTTGACAAAATGTCTCCGAGTAGTATATAATACATATCGTTTATATTATTTTTAATTTCAGAAAACCCACCACTCACCGTCAGTTTGGTGCAAAGTAAAACACATGAAGCCAATCAGGTTATAAAAAAATTTATGGAATTATTTCAGCAATACAAAACAATAAAGGATGGTAATATTGTAACAGCAGATACAAAATATGCGATGACTAAAAAAAAAGAAGTAGAACATGAATTCATTCCAGCGCCCGGAATAAAAAAAAAATTATCTTTAGAGCCTACTGAAGTAATAAAGAGCAATACTAATTTTCCTCTTAATAAATGGAATCCAAACATATTTCCACCAAAGTTTGCAAGCCTAATGCCATTAGAGCAAAATTATATTAATATACCTATAATGAGAAATACTCCAAAACACAGGAGTAATCTAACACCAGTAATGATACAGACAAATTCAAACGAGATTCCACCTTTAGTGCTTCCTATGTCAAAACCTTTGAAACTAATTAATCAAAATATTATTGTCACTACTAAAGTACCTTATGAACTAATTAAAAATAATAGTTCACATTGGAGCAGTAGACTAAAAAATCAAGGAAATGTGTACTCTAATAGTAATTTTAAATATAACAAAGAAAAATCTCAATATATTAGTGCAAATAATCGAGACAGAACTATCCCATATCAAAGATTAAAAGCTTCGTATAAAGATAATCCCATGCATGATCATCAAGGATATGAATACAGTAATTTCAATAACAATCATGGTGAATACGCGTACAATAGAGACGACGTTATAAATTCTAATGTAGATCATAATGGAATGCATAACCGTGTATCAGTGAACTATAGAACAGGACATGAAATTAATGATAATAGCCATACAAGGTTAAATTATGGACAAAGGTTTCACGAAAGGCTAGAAAGAGGTGACGATTGGCTTCCGAATTATAATGACAATAAGTATAAAGTTGAAAACAGGGAGGGATGTTGCAAAATGAAGGTGGCATCGAGGCAACAACTACCATTGAATAGCGTTAAGAAGCAAACAAAATACGACGACATACATTTTAAAAATTTTCTAAAAACACAACAAAAGGTTAATGACATGCTCGAAAGAATTTTAGCTACAAAGACAAAATCTGATGGACCTCGCAGTGTAGAAACCCCCTGAATTTTAAACATAAATAAAATTATTATATGTTTATATATTATTACAGCTATATAATGACATGCTAGCCGGTACCTATGGCTGTGGTCTTTGTGATAAATTATAATTTTCACAATATATTAATCAAAAATTACCTAGTAATTTAATCATAAATATGACTGGTTTACAAAGTAATCTAATAATGTTATATTAAAATTCTTTATTACACTAAAACATACAATTATAATAACAATTAGAAACACTGTAAGTAAACGTGAACTTACCTTTAAAAGTATTCTTCCAGTCAACAAGTCAGTTTTATATGAAATTAAAGCTATTATTTTTCAATATGAAAAAAAAAAGGTCATGAATAGCTTACCATGGTTTTTCCAGCAAGCTTTTTTTAACCGATACGTAACTTCTGGACTTTATATTCCTTTACTGTCATGAAACATTAAACTTTATGATGTCTCATGCCAAATATACAAAAATAAAAATAGAAAATGTCTGACCTGTGAACCTCCATGTTCTGTGTCGATGTATCTCGGCACTGGGAATCGGCTTTGCAGGATCTCCTGTGCGTCATCTATCGGCGCCCGAAGCAGCTGCGCAAAACTCTCATACTCCGCCATATCTTGGTAGCGGAGAGCACGCCACTGCGCTATCGTCTGTTAATATCGAAACCGAATGAGTAAAATGAACGTTAAGAAAAACTTCTCGAAATTCTCGCGGGATCTATGAAATTAGGAAATAAAGAAAGCACGCTGGCAAAACTGTTCATAATGTTTACAACAATAAATAATATTGGGCAGGTTACAACAGGCCATCTAGTCTCAAATGAAGCAAAGTTTGTACAATGAACATTAGACAATTGATACACATACTACTTTTATATATATATATATATATATATATATATATATATATTCTATATCAACAATATACCTCTCCGTGATAGATCAGTATCTGGAAGAATGTATCCATAAGTAGGATACGGTCTGGCTGTATAGAGGAGGTGTCAAGTAACACCGGCTCCGGTGGACCCTCGAAACTGTACGAATACAGGATTGGCTGGATCATGATCAACGATTGCGTCAAGTCCTCGCGCATTAGCATGTGCCTACAAACAAACAATCAAAGGTTAAAAAAATCAAGACATTACGAGTATATATGATATATATAAGATATAATAGATATGTAACTCAAAACAAATAATTATAGGCAAGAAATGACATTACAAATTTTATTGAATTGCAAGAAACATGAAGAAATAGTACAAATGCAACAGCATCCTGGGATGTCCATAATAGTAGTTGCCATGGTTGGCAGGCAAGTTTACAACTGCAGTCAAGCTTTTGGTGATGTTTTAATAAGGACACCGCTGCTCCTCTCCCTCGATCATTAAGTTCCCTTAATCGCCTCTTAGGACACCCACAGGAAATATGAAGTCCATTCTACGTCGGGACCAAAGGACTTTTAGAACCCTGTATATTGTATAATATGTGGTTTTAATCATAAAAAATAATTAATAAAATTATAAATAAAGGGATGCAATGATACTGATTTCAGGTTTTATATGTATTAAAGGATATAGGTGAAGGCTAAAATTATTTATGAGACTTAATTTAGCTCGTTTGTAATATCTATACAATTGTGTTCAACCTCCTAATATTGTTTGATTATACCACCTATAGTTTTTTACCACACCTTGTCACATTGTATTGGCAATTCTTCTGATATTTCTAAATACAAATCAGCCTACCTGTAGAAAGTGGTCTCGTCTGGGGAGTTGTTAAACACTTGTAGGAACTGAGAGCGACGAAGGTGATACATGAACTGCGGGTACAAACTGAAGTTCTCTGATAAACGGAAGCTGTTCGGGTCATCTTTGCCATACTCGCCGAATTTTTGACACTGTAACAATTTAATTTTTTTTAATATAACCTAGCCATAACCCTTCGGTTTGTTCACGCCAATCAGAATAAGTATGCCGTATGATAAAACAGTATATGATCCATCTAAATATCAAATTAACACCAAAAATTTTGGAGTGTAATTTCTTAACATCTTTCACAACAAACTAACATTTAATGAGATAGAAAGGTAAAATAGGTTACTAAAATAATAATGACAACCAAGATATTGACTTAGGCTAGCCTGTTTTTTTTAAGACATTTGAACTACACAAATGTGGTAATGGACAAGTCTACTACAATTATTTTTTCTGCAAATTGAAAAATAGAACTTACCAGTCTAATTAGCATCCTATCGAGCCAGCGCAGTACGTCGGGTCCGTCCTCCAGCTCAGCGCGGTAGACTACCAGACGCGCCATAACAACAGCGGCCGCTTCCTGATCAAAACCGGCCGCTATATGGGGCAGGTTCACTGCTGCATCGCCCCAACTGTCGACAAATTAGTTGAGTATATATTGAGAGGACATTTGTAATAAAAATATCACCTTTAATTAATCCTATAATTTAGTTCTATTCGTAAATAAAACAACAAATTAATTTACAAAAATAATTTTAGTAATACTAATATTTTAGATTTGGATAAAAATTATTAATATTTACGCTTATGCCACATTAGGCTAATCATCCATGACAGAACGCCAATACATCAACAAATTCGAAGATCGGTCTTCAACGCGATGTATAGTCGCGATAAATTCTCGATTGGCCTTGTTTGTTATTGACATCACCGCAACAAGTGGAGGGGTTTAGCCGGGCAGACGTGTCCACCCCAGGATGTGAGAGAAACTTTGCAAAAACATTTTATTTTAAGGGGCCAGGCCTCCTTGGAAAATAATCCTGAATACGCCAATGCATTATAGCTAACAAGACAGATGGTTTAAGAATAAGGAGGCCTAGTTTCAGCAGTGGATAAACTAATTATAAATAAACATACTTGCGCGCGATTGTGGTGACGCGGACTCGGCGTTGCCCGCTAGAATGCTGGTACTGCGTAATGAGCTGCACGCAGCCACGACCGCCCTGCGGTACCGCCGCATGCTGATTCACCACCTGAACACAACAGCCCGATTCCCATAATAAAATCACAGTTATAGTAGCATCTCGGTCATAGAAATAATTTGTATCCTCATCTTTAAATAAGATCCTTGAAAGACACCAAAATGCATTTTTATAACATTTACATTAAATCTTTAATAATACTTTGAATTTGTCAATAGTTTTATATAGGAAATTGTACTTACATTTTACATATTAAAATTTGACACTACAATAAGACAGAACTTTTTTCTCGTTTTTGTGTTGAAAACATTAATTGACAATAAGTTATTATATAAACTTTACATAGGACTTTTATCTTTAACAATATTAAACTACATAACAGAACTATGTACATAAAAATGTAAAATTATAATCACCTCAAAGAATATGCCCATAGTGGTGCTTGGTGTGAATGTGCACATTTTCCATTGGCATGTATTGCCCATACCAACTTCCTGATCTGATACACACGGGCCTTTCACATTTAGAGATACGCAAGAACCAATGGCACCAGTGACTGTGGAAATAAAATTATATAAGTACTAACTGACCTACAAACATAAGATAGATATAAAATTTCTTTTATATTATATTATTCTTTTAGGTGGGTGTGTCCCCGTGCCCACCAATGGGGCATTATTACATCATAATGGATTTATAAATTTGATTTAATTTTATTATCTTTATTTATTATGTTTTTTCTATTTAATCTATTTTTATTATGTTTATTTTATTAACTTTTAGAACTGGATGAACCATATAATTTCTACAATTAAATTATACATTACAATAATTTAAATTATAACATAAATTTGATTTGATTATTTATATTATATTTTATTTAACATAACAGTAGGAATTTTATCAAAATTTAAAAATTCAACAAATTTATCTTACTTTTCAATTCTCGACTGCATTTAACTTCTAGTGTTCCATTGAATGCCATCTTGTATTCAGACTTTTGGTCCTTGGCAAATACTCTCTGGAATGTCTGTTTGAACAGTGATGAGTTGAATGAGTCTCCCATGACCATGTGACCACTGTAATCATTATTTGAATATACTATAACTTGTAAATAAAACATAGAGTAAACAAGATAAAAATCAGTTGTCCACAAATATAATGATAAAAAGTTTCACAAACTATTAATGATCAGGCCCAGCTTCTCATAGGTAGGCAGCTATCTTAAGGTGAGAGAATTTATAAAATCACTTGAATAGTTTTGGAGTTTATCCATTACAATCATATCTTTACTCTTTATAATATTAATACAGAAATAGCATTTGTTGTAATTAATTTGGAAATCAATCTGACAATGGTTATGGTACCAAATCAAAAACAAAAAAATAACTGCTGAAATAAGCATTATTAAAATAAAAAAAATACAAAATAACAACAATGTATAAATGTTGAAAATTACTTTTTTTCAATTCAAATTATTATTCCATAAAAGTCCACCAAATGTACATAAAATTTTATTATGTATTAAAGTTTAAATAAATAAACAAGAAATTTTATCAATACTAATTATTTCTCACCCTGTTGAATTACAACACTGTTTCATTTCCATTAGACCAGTCTGGTCTAGAGCACAGGAGTAGATATCGATAGAGTGCCCATTCGTAGCTGACCTCAAAGACAGAGCCTCATAATGCTTAATTGCCTTTTTCATATATTTAGCATTATCTTTATGAATATCATGATGAGATCGAATAGGCTGTTTCAACTCATCATTCACAACCTGACCAGGGCCTTGAGAGCATGGCCCTCCCAAGAACAGCATAATCCGTGCGCCTGTATTAGGGTATGTAACTTCTAATAAGCCAACAGCTAGAGATAATGCCACTCCGCTGCTTCGCAAAGGACGTTTCCCAACACCGAGTGGCCATGGATCACGACCAAGTTCTCCAAGCAAGTCTGTCAGTGCCATATCACATTGTTTCACTGGCTGCAAGAACCGGTGAGCTGGTGGCTGGGCCGGAGGTGCTCCAGGACGCTGCTGCTGTGGATTTGGTATGTTAACACGACCAATACCCAATTGCTCTTGAATCTGTTTAGCAGATAAATCTTTTGTTCCTTTAAAGACATAACATTTAGATATGCCTTCTGTGCCTGCAAAAAAAAATATTTTTAATCCATAGCGCCTAATACTCTACCAAAGATATAGTACATACATCTATCCTATTATGAAGTTATTGATGCATTTTCATATCAATAAAGGTGATCAATCACATTTAAAAAACTTCTTTATTATTCAGCCCATATAGATAAAATTATTACAAAACAATACCAGACAGTAGATATATTAACTTATTAGAATTAGCAGCAGTATATATAAAAATTAAATTAAGCAATACAGCAAATTCTACTTACCTAATTCATGAATTTGCACCATACGACCAAAAGTAATGAGACCAACTAGTGCATTCTGTGGCATCAGACTCAGTGATGTCTGTAGAGAATCTTTTAATGCACTTAGCTCTTCCTCATCCAGACATGTGTCGACTACTAACAGGAAGATTGGTGGCATTGTTTGGGCACGAGTTATAGTATACTCAATAGTCGAGAAATTAGGTATGAGTTCTGCTGGTTGATGCTGTTCTGAGATAGCAGCATATTGTGGGGGAAACTAGAAAAAAAACATAAATGTCATGACTGCAAAAATGCCATTAACAATTGTAGAAAAAAAGATAATGGAATTTTGCTACCACTACAATATTGACAACAAAAAACCTCATAATGAATATATACTAAATTAAATACAGTCTAGAAATAAACTTTGTCATAGAGATAGATTATAAATTAATTCTAATTTCTATCCTTATATGAAGATACTTTAAATAATCAAAACATTAAATTATAAAAATAACCAACACTATTTATATATGTATTTATTTTCTTATCTACAGATATGTATATAATGTAAGTACATAACTAAAATTAATAAAAAAAAATTAAGCTAGAATTAATGTAGCATTAAAAGACACTAATAACACTTACAGGATTTCTTTGAAAACAGAAGTTGCACACCCATAATTTGGCTCTGTAATCAACCTGGCACATTGGATTTAAGATAGCCCTACATGTATTACGTGTACAGAGTACAGGTTCATACTGTATTGGTGGTAAATCTGGGCGTTCTTTTAGCGGCTGATACAGACAGGCTAAAGGTACCACAAGCCTTGTTGCCTCAATCCTGCTAGATGGCCACACGTTCCAGGTGAACCGTATGCCATCCCTGTCCTCATTGTTCTGAATAAACTCTTCGTATGTCGACATATCGCTGATCTGCAAACGAATTGTAGATGAAAACACTATTCATTTCGGCTACGAAAGCATAACTGGTCAGTAGGTACACTTAGGTGTGGTTTTTTGAAGATTATACGTACCAAGAGTACATTCGACGACTATAAGTAGGCCATATATGCGAAGTATTACCCTTTAATTAGGCATTCATTCATAAAAATGTTGTATTTCTACAGAACTAAAAAGATATTCAATAAACGAGAAGTCCTGGCTGATTTGGCAATTGTCAAATCAGACCCATAGACAATCATCTGTCACAATCGCCACGTCATTTTTGAAACGTTACCTACCATCCTTTTTTATTGTGGCACATTTTAATATTATTTTATTCTATTTCAGAAATATTCCGTTGAAATTTCTTTAATACGTTCCCACATATTTTTTTTAATATAAAGTTCCTGATTCATTATTTAACAAAAACATAGCTTAGTTTTGTAAAATAAATTCACATATTTATCATCTATGGTGAACATGGACAAATATACAAAATCATAGATTAAGTCAGCGTCCTTGTCTATGGTACTAAACATTGACATTCCTTTGCATCATTTAAAGTTTTTACAAAATAATATTTTAATAAACTATAATTAGTATAAAAGCAAAACTTTATTAATTTCAATGTAGTTATTCCAAAAAGTTAATTAATTTAAAGAATACAAGGGATATAAATATTTTAAGTTTTTTGTATCAAAGTTTTAAAATGTTATAAAAAAGTGTATCAACAGATTACTGCGTGACAAGAAAATGTAATTGAATGAAGTATTTTTTTTATTTTTAGGCCATAGTAAATTAAATTTCAATTATGGACAATATTTGTAAAATAACCCACATTGTAATTTAAAACAACAATCTTTTCGATACAATTAGTGTAAACAAAATTAATGACATGTCATTGCTTTGTTACAAAAGCAGGAAGTTTACGCCAAAAAGTGCGACTGCGCACTGGCCAAATTAGTAGTGTGAAAGAAAATGGCGATCAGCGAAAGGCGTCCGGAGTTAACGTGATGAAAAACATTGTTAAAAGCTCAATTACATAGTGTTATAGTTATTAATTGTGTCAGATGTAGATTAATTAAGTGTTAATGAATAGTGATTGTGTATAAAAATGGCTGCGAATATGTACAGAGTCGGCGGTAAGTAGCAATAATTGGTTATTTTTGTTGTAGCTTCGCCGGTTCACCGCCAGCCGACTAGCGGTGCTTTGCTTTGATTGTCGGACCTTCATTAATTGTTCACATTAATTAGTTCAATAAGGTGAAATCATCTAATTTCTCTTATAATTGTTATGTTATTAAGATTTTGTCCCATCCCATAATGCAGTTTTGTTTCTTTTGCGGGAAAGTTACATTTATTTTACCAAATTTCGTCAAATAGGACATTAGCATTTGCATCTAGGTATCATTGTATCGGCTTGCGTATCTGCGTGCGGGTGCTTAGACATGAATTTCTTTCAATTTCTCATTAATGATTATGCATTTTCGGATGTTTTTGGCGATGTTTAGGTGGTTTTGACATGAGATTTTAGGTTATATTTGATGTTGTCAAAACATTTTCGTGTGGGATTGGGAATGAGATGTTTGCTGATATCTTTGGTTGGTTAAGTTAGCTTTTGTTGCATACAAAGTGTCTGGTGGTGTACCAGGCGTTTTCGTAAAAGTTATGTATGTAATTATTTAATGAGCCGGTGTCTTCAATCTAAAAGTGGTTTGATAGTGTAATCGCGAGAAACCTGCCTGCCTCGTGTGCTTGTGCCGCGCTCCGCGGACCGCGGTCGCCGCGTCGAATGCTAATTAACTCTTCCTTTTACGTTACTTCCTATCATATTTAGTGTCGTTCAATATATGGGCTTTGTTTATGATACTGTTTCAAATAGGTATCTATTGTTATTTAGTTATCAAAATATCTAATCTTGTAAACTGAATCTTCATAATGCTTACACAATTTATATTTTTGTTATGACCTCAAAATGCTTGCATACATAATACACTTGTATCTCCAACAAAGAGTAACTTAACCTACATTCACTACCTTGAGATTTTTCTTTAGCAATGAACTTTCATTGACTAAAACATAAAACTGAAATCTCTAGAAACACTAGGTTACAAGTGTGTGTTTATACAATAACCTACAATAGATTGTTATGTTGGTTAATTGAAATATCTAAATTTAATAAATATTACTAACATTCCATATTATTATTATAATATTAGCACACAGTAGGTAGTCCATCTATGTATTGATAAAAGCTATGAAAAGATAATGTTCCAAGCGTAGCTACCTCTTTATGTAATATTTGCTTCTGAAAGTACCTACCAGTTACAGTAGTCTCTGTGAAATTTTTCTGTAACAATTCTGATAGTGTGTTTCTATTATTTTTATATTAATTAATTATAGGGAAATATTTTATTGTAAGCAGTCATGTTATAGAGATAGTAAAACTTAGTAAAGGTTAATTACATTATATAAATATATTAGTAAAAATAAAAATGAACACATTTACAAGCAAAATAAAAGATTTTTAAATTGTCTCAAAATTACTCAATATCAAAAATATATAATCTAAATCTATAAAATGTTTCAAAGTAAACATTTTATAGATTTACATTATATATTTTTATATCTGTCTAAAACATATAAATAATTTAGCAGTTATCATTTTAAAGACTATGGTAATATTAAACAGTTCCATTTCAATAATGATTAAAATTATGTATACATTTGTATATTCTATTTATTTTATTGATACTTCACGAGAATCAAACTGCACTTTTCAAATGTTAAACTTGTGTCTATTGTTTGTTTACATTACATTAATGTTGAAAATTAAAACATGTTGTAACATTGGAAAATGATATATTTACTTAATTATAATTCCCAACATATCTTCAAATCTAATAAATATCTATAATAAATAGTTAAAGACACAAATATTTAAGTAACTATTTAATAACCAAAAACAATTATGTTCACAATTACATTATATATATATATATAATTAAAATTCCCAAAGAGGGTTGATGTTAGGCAGGCAGCCAGTCATAAAACAAAAAGCCAAATCTTTTTTAATGTGGATAAAAACATATTACGCCAACCTTAAATAATAATTGGGATAAAGGTAGGAAGATGATGATGATATATATATAATTACAATTATATTTTCTGATATATTTTACTATTATCATAAAATAAAACAACAAAAAATAATATTCAACATTATTTACTATACATATTAGGTGATTAAAAACAATTAAATATATTCCAAATTATATAAAAAAAAATGAGTACACATATTCTTTTCTCATCTTCAGAAATAACCACAATTGTTTTTGTTGTGTTACAAGCATCTGGATATTTATGAATGGCCTTCAGTTATGTGAAAGTAAAAGGTCATTGACCTGTTGGGTAGATGTAAGACTGGGTTTTCTGCTTTAAAACAACTAATTAATGTAATTTTACATCACTATGTAGTGCCACAATATAAATGTATAATTATTATTTGTATTTCTTTTTTTTTTCTTTTTTGTTATATAAATAATAATTTTTCATTTGAATAAATTGAAAAATATCAGTAAATCTTCAAGTTTTTCTTTTAAATTTTTGACAATGAAATATTCACAATGTTTAATTTGGTGTCATGGTACAGTGGTTTACTACCCCTATTCAAGACATGTCTACGATCTCGGCGGATACTAAAAATAAATGCCAGTTTTATTACTACTAACTTTCCTGCACTGATTAATGTCATAAAACTAATTTTAGAGAACTTAAATCGACACTCGCCTTGTTAGAGTCTAATATGCACAGCGACAAATACTTTTCTTATAGATATAAAGAGATAATCAAGAGGTCGCCAACTTGGACGCGTACCCATCTAGCACCTTAGTCCTCGAGAATGGCAATGCATGTCTCATACCTTGTAATTTCACTGTCATAATCAAGACCTTTTTTTCCAAAACACCTTTCACCCCAAAACAGACGTGCTGTCTTTAAAGCTGCGTACATAGCTTCTTAGTGGTAGAAAAACAAGTGGTATAGAGATGCCCAAGCAGACGTCTCCTGTATAAAGTCTATCTTTATATATATATAAAGATATATGAAAGAGATATATATATATTTTTACTATGGTTGTCATTTCCGACAACACGTCTGTATCTATAAAATGCCCGCAACTACTCGTATATCTCGAATCTAAGTCATCGACATGTTTTACTCTGGAATTTCATCAAATCAAAATGATTTGCCGTGAGGTATTACCATTACAATTCTTGTTGCCATGTAAAAATTACTTTATAAAAAATTTTATATCCACTTTGTCTAGACAGGCAAGAGGAGTTACATTATAAAATTTAAGATAATTATGTTTATTACTAACTAGCTTCGCAACTTCGTCCACGTTACTGGGATATAATTACTATTCGGGAAAGAAATTAGCTTATGTCCTTCTTCATTACATATAATACGTTTTCGTTCGTAGTGATTGGTTAAGCCATTAAGGTGCTGTAAGGAAACAAACTCACTTTCACATTTATAATATTAGTACTACTCGTAAACTTTAAAATAACGAAATACCTACCAAATAAAATACCTTTTATTTTATGGAACCCTCGTATGAAATTAATACAAATCAAGGACACTAAATAAGAACAAAAACTTTTATTGGAAATATTTTAAAAGCGATACACTTTATTTTTTACTATAATTGTATTTATATTACTTCAAAATACTATTACTACTTAACTGTAGTATTATTTAATAAGCAAGAATAAATAATTTCGCAGAACCCTGCCAATTATTCTACGGAACCCACTTCAGGAATTACTACATTATAACAAACACTGATGATTACAATTGATTTTCCTCTTAATATATGTACACATTATACCTACATAGTGACATTAATACTCATTTGTTACAAATGTATTAAGATTTATAGGATTATTATATACATAATGGCAACCTAAGATATTTAAAATGTTTAATGATTAATGCAAACATTACGATATTTTGCTTTGTATATTTTTTATCTATCTTAAATACATACGATAATTATAAAGATATGCTTATAGTCCTTGATTTACTTGAGAAAACAATGGAATCTCAAGATGTGAATAAATCAATTATATGGTCTATATATCTATCTCAGAGGGAAATGGCATGAATATATTTTATAGTAATAAAACAAATATTGAACTACATTAATCTATGTCCCGACATGTGTTTATATACATACGCGAATATTTTCCA